GCCAGCGCCCTTTCCCTGGGCAAAGAAGATTACCTCTGCGTGCATGACTGTGTACACACAGCTGGGGAGAACTTCCCCGAAGAAATGAGTGGGGTGGAAACAGACAGCCCACTTCCGGAGTGATCATTAAGAATAGACCCCTGACATTATCATTTTATCATTTTAAAGATATTTTCCTTCAAAGGACAGAACCAATGAACGAGGAAGGGTGTCACACCTCTCCTGAAGTCCCTTGGTCTTCCTGAAGTCCCTGCTCTGAAGCTGGCTCTGCACACGATGGTTTAAAGGATTTCAAGCAGCGACAAAGGGGGATATATTGAAAGTTCGCATGTGATCCCAGTGGCTCAAGACTCTCGTTCCAGAAATAACCAGAGTATCTCTGGCTACTAGTGAGTGTAACCTTCTCCAGCCTGAGGATCTTGGACTCCGATCATGGACTGACTGGGGTGGGGTGGGGTCAGGAAAGCGTTCTACCCGTTCTCCTGCTCGCTCAGGCACACTCCACTCCCTGCGTGATATTCCATCCCACATCTGGCCAGGTGTGGGACATCGGGCCAAAGTTTGTCTTGCTGGCCTCAGCGGGGGCCACATACCAGATGAGACGCCACGTGGCCTGCCTGGCTGTGGGGGTGGAGGGCCGGGTCTGCCGCCACGGTGTCCCAGGATCATGTGTTTTGTGGTTAAACACTTAGGCTTCTGACGTAGGCGAGGCAGCAGAGCGGACCCTCAAAGCCGCTGCAAACAACCTGAGACAGCTTCTCAAAAATGTGGCCCCTTGCCTCCGAAGGAGATGGCCTTTCAAGGGGCAATTTTCCAATCGTTGCCTATTTGGTGTGGTCACATCTCAGCCAGGGGAGATTTCTTAACTCTGGGCAAAACATTCGCAGAGCAGTGGACGCCAGGGATCCGGGGAGTTAAAGCTAATGTGAAGGGCATTCTCAGTGTTGGCTAATGGGGGAGTGACGTGTGGAGTCGGGTGAGGAGGAGGAGATGAAACAGAGGACGAATAAAAGGCGCATAAAAACTGCGGCCATCTGTGAGGTACAAATAGTCTCCAATTTAATCCTTACTCTAGCACCATGGGATTCATCCTATTAATCTATATTGGCAGAGAAGCTAAATGACACTTTAACTAAACCAGCAGACCTAGGATTAAAAACCCAAGCTCTTCTCCCTCCCCCACTTTAGCTCTCTTTCTCCTTTCCTTTCCCTCTTCTTCCTCTCTCTTGCTCTCTCATTTTCTCCTTTTTTACTTGAGGTACTGGGGATGGGACCCAGGGCTTTCACAGTGAGCTACATCCCTAGCCCTTTTCATTTTTTATCTTGAGATGGGATCATCCTAAATTGCCTGGGTAGGACTGAAAATTGCATTTCTCCTGCCTCAGCCTCTGAACTACTGGGATTCTAGGCAGGCACCACCTGCCGCCTCTTCCAGTGCTATATTCTCACACCTTCCTCCTATAGCACGCGACAATGAGGGGCTGAAGTATCTTGAGGCTGCGTCCAGTTCTCGTACCTACTGCCAGGTTCTTTGCAGGAAGGAACTGTGGTAGCTATGGGCCTTTTATCCCTTTTGTTGTATCTTTGGACATCACTGTTAGCGAACAGAAGTCTAGGAGTCCTATCCTGACCAGTGGAGGTCATATCCCTTACCAAGGAGGAGAGAAATGAGGCAGCCCATGGTCAGGAGACCTGATGAGTGATGGAGGGGTCAGCTGAGCTAGGTCCAGCTCAAAGCAAGCTGTTTCTACCATCAGAAGTTCAATAGCAACCTTAACGACTGAGTTCAGCATCTCCAGAAGCACAGGCTGGGCTCAGCAAGTCGGTTCTGAGAGCCCATGTAGTATGATGAGGGAGATCTCAAAGTTCTGAGTGATTCTCCTCCTCCTCCTATTTCAGAAGAGTGTGTCAAGGTAAGGACTTTTCCCTAATTTGGGCTTTACAACAACCCTTCAGGACAGAATGATCACCTTATGTTAGTGGTGAAAAACACTGCATCTGTCAGAAACAGAACCAATAGGATATGGGGGGAGAGATGAAGGGAAGGCTTGAGGGACAGAGGGATTGATTTTAAGCAATTGGCTGAAGCCATTGTGAAGGTTTGGGAAGTCCAGATGTGGATGGTTGGGGGTAGGCAGGAGGCCGGAGACATGAGCTGGAGTCCAAAGGCTGTAAGAATTCCTTCTTGTTCGAGGAGGTCTGTGTTTGTTCTATGAGGCCTTCGACTCTGCTTTCCTTGTAATTCACCCAGTTAAATATTAGTGTCATCCACAAAATGCATGCCCAGAAACATTTGGGATAATGTCCGACCCAGTATCTGGGCACCATGGTAGAGTCGAGCTGAAACATGAAATTGATCATCACAGCTATCGAGCCAGAGTTGAACAGAGGTTACCCAGGAGTGAGGGGTGGGGCTGGGTATTTCACCAAGGTCTCTGGTTCTAACATTTGACTTCTCCTCACCAACATCCAAAGCCCAGGTCAGCAAATCAGGGAAAGGCACTCGTCACCCAGGGAGAGCCTCACGTCGCTTAGACGATGGACCCCAAAGCTTCTCGTTCATTCTTTAGGAAATCTTTCCCAAGCGCTGCTATGGTCCATGCTCTGTAAGATCAGGGGCTTTCCCTGGTGACAGTAAGCAAGGGGGAGCTTTTCCAAGGCATCTCTCACCACTGCAGCTGCGTTTTGGATGTGCTTTGCAGCTGGCCTGGGTTACTGCACTGCTGGAGGTCCTGAAACAGGTGCCACCAGCAGAGGAGTAGAGAGCAGCAAAGCCTTACATGTTGGTGCTTGATGGATGTGTATCAGCTAAGATTATATTTGGCCACAAACAATAGAAACGCGATTTAGTAACTTAAACACATTTCTCACTCAACAAGAACAAAATCCAGCCACTTACAAATGTCATCTAGAGTCTCAGTTCCTTCTATGTATGGCTGCTGCATCTCCAGACATCATATCCACGCTCTAGCGGAAAACAAATGGGAGGAGGAAGAATAGGATAAGTCGAAGAGCTGAAGACATGTCACCTGAATCTGACCTTTTTGTAAAGAGTTTTTGACCCTTGCCTCCTGCATTCCAATCTTGCTGGCCAGAATTGGCTTTCAAATTTCTAACTACAAGGGAATCTGGGATGGGAAATATTGTAGATTTCGGATTCTTTGATGGAGAAAGGCAGGAGAGAAGGGGGTCAATGGCTCCTGGAAGTCAATTTGCAGTGCTGGCTGCAAAGTAGAGCTCACGTTGTCAAAGAAGCCTTGCTTAAGGCAGGGGATGAAGGAGGGGGTGATGGGATATGATGTGGAATCCAGTGGTGACTGGACTCAGGGCTCTGTGGCCCTCTGTGGCTTGGATCAGATATCTTGGATCTGCCCCCTTAGCCCCAGAACCGGCTCCCTGTAGCAATCATTGCTACCAGCTGCTGCCAAAGGGAAGAGCTTCAAGTCCCCACTGCCCTCTTACTGTGTTTGAGGCCCACCTCTACCTTGACTCCATCTTGGCTCACAGAATGTTCACCAGAGCTGTGCTTCATTGATGGTCTTAGTCCCTTTCCTGTCACTGGGACACAATATCCAATGCCTACAGCCTATGGAACAAAAGGTTTACTTTGGCTCACAGTTTGTAGAGGCTTCAGGGCATGGTCAGCTGGCTCTAAGGCAGGACAGTTCGGCAGAGGGGCCTGGTGGAGGAGAGCTGCTCGAGGCATGGAGGGCAGGAAGCAGGGAGCCATCAAGGGAGGAAGGAGGGAGATAAACCCTTCTGGGTCACACCCCCAGTGGCCCACCTCCTCCAACCAGGCCCCACCTCCCAACACCACATTTAGCTATAAATTCATCAGTAGACTAATCCACTGATTAGTCACTGTCACACCCCAATCACCTCCCAAAAACCTCATTTCTGAGTGCATCCAGATGAAAACCACATCAGTGAGGATTTTCACTTACTCTTGTCCCCTCCCGTTAACAGGGCACCAGCTCTCTACATATGTGCGTTAGCTAACTGTATAAGTCATTTGCATCTCATCGGTACTATCGTTAAGTTCATTCTCCAGTCCTTGAGAACCATGAAGAATAAAGCATTACCCTCTCTTTTTCTCGGGAAGGTTGGCCCTTAAGCCATTTCCCCCGAGCTCCTTCAGCAAGGTGGAGAACTGTGGCTTCTGGAATCCAGACCTCAACACCCAGAAGACACCGTACGGGTCACCACCCATACAGGAAGTGGAAGGGTGTCCCTGGCCTCTCAAGTGTGGGGAAACAGAGAAGATCAAATATTCTCCCCCAGGGTGCTGAAGATCACAGGGGAGACGGTTGCCCTGGACTGAGGCAACTTCCAGTCCAGGCAAGGAGATGGACTACAATCACATTTTTAAAAAATGAAATGTGATTTTTAAAAGTATGAATAAGCGCTATTGTAGACGGCTACGACTCTGTGTATAAGCAATGAAGTAAGATGAATTGACTGGCACTGAGTTGGAAAAGCTAAACAGAGGCAGGGAAGTGTGGAACATAATTTAATAAAAATAAACTTTTTTTTTTTTTATATATACACACACACACTCCCAAAGAAGAAATGGAAAAGTTGTTAGGGTGTGGACCAGGGCTTCTAATTAGCTTCTCTGCTGCCTTGCCCAGCAACTTCTTGGGGCCACACTGGACAATGGCAGGGAAGGGACCCCTCAACCCCTGACCTCTGTCACCAAGCTGACCTTCCCCCAGGACTTTCCCCTTCTGCCCAGGGGGTTGCAGGGAAAGCTCGCCCCTCAGGTGGGCACTTCTGCCTCCTGGACCCTGCGTTCCCAAAACACAGGGAGCCCCCAGGAAGGTTCCTTGGCAAAGTGGGGGAACAGCTCCCCTCCGGGCCCTCTGTCCCGTCTGAAAATGTGAAATTTACAAATCCCAAGGAGCCGCGCTCAGAACTGTACCTAGGGAACATTTAGAGTATCCCTGCCATAAATATCCCGCCTGGAGACGCCTGACGTCAGAGAAGGGCGGGCCGGCCCGAGGCAGCGGAGCTCAGGAGCCTGCGGAGCCGGGACCACCGAGATGGGAGCCTGGCCGCACCATGGGGCCCTCTGGGTAGGTGCTGCGGCTGTGCGCTGGGGACCCGGGACAACTCTGCGCTGCACTCGCCTGGCCTCTACTTTCTTGAAAATGCAGAGCAGGGCTGGGGAGGCTGCACCTCTGAGGGCGGGATGTTTTGTTTCTCCAAAGTGTTTGCAGAAGCCTGGGCGCCCAGGGCCTGCGTGTGTGGAGGTCTGTGATCGCGTGTGTTTGCATGCCTGTCTGCCTGCCCTGGGACAGCTGGACACAGGAAATGTCCTTGGAAAACTCTAAAAATTTTTTTTTCTTTTGGTGTCACAAGTGGGTAAACACAGATGGGGGCCTCCTATCCCACGACGTCCTGGTAGTGGCTTTTCCCTGTCCAGCCTGTGCTTTTCCGGAGGAGGACAGACATCTTTCCAAGTCCCCTGCTCCCACTTGTAGGCCTGGCTTCTGGCCAGGCTGGGCAGCAGCGGCGCTGGGATCCTGGATCCTGATCTCTGGGGAACGGGACCTTAGGAAGGGAGGGAAACATCTCCCCAAAGGAACCAAACTCTGGGACTCCAGCACCTGCGGCCGCAGCCCCAGGCACCGGCCTGACCTCCCAGGAGGTGAGACTTGGCTTAATTAGGGAAGGAAGGATCTGGTCCAGCATCAGGTACTGGGAAGGAGGATGAGGAGGAGGACGTCACGGTGGCCAGACACTGGCCCTGGGTCCAGCCCTGCCTAAGGAGAGGGACGGATGTTTCTGCCACATGTACCCGCCATGGGGTGGGTGCCAGGTTCTCGGGGAGCACCGCGTGCAGTGCGCCAAACAAGATGCAAACTCTGAACATAAAGAGACGTGTCTGAGCTGTGGAACGGAGGAAGGGGGGTGGTGGGGAGAGCAAGAGAGATTTTTATCAAAATTGAACACAGATTGCTGAGGTCTGGGCTTGATTTAACTCTTCTCTCTCTGCTGTGGCCACTTCTCCCACAGTTCTGTGGTGGATTCAAAAAGTTCGTGGGTAGATGGAGAGGGAAATCACATCTTTTCAGGGCACGGTCCTGGCAGATTTTCCTTGAAGGTCTCATGGGAAAGCAAGTATCTTACCATCTTTAAAGGGTTTTGGGGTTTGTGTTTCCCAGCTTGTGACTTTGGAGGAAAGTTTCTTGCTTGAGTTTTTCTCTAGGACTCAGGGGCCAGTGCTTCTTAGGGGTTCCAGGTGAGGGGCTGTGGGCTGTCCCTGGGAACGGGGGACCTGCAGCCCTGGGTCTCACACAGCCCAGCCCGAGTGTTGTGCCAGTAGCTGGATCCACAAGCAAGTGACCTGACTGCTCTGAGAGCCTGGATTTTCAGCTTTACTCTTCCAGATCTCTGGTTTTATATTTTGCAGCGGAGCCAACTGATGATGGTTGGTTGGTGGGAAGAAGATTACTGGGCTCTTTCTGTCTCTCTCCCTAGGTCCTAGAAAAATGAGGGAATGAAGGGATTGGGAGGAAATCTGGAAATAAAAACAGACCCACAGGAAGTTGAGATTTGGGAAGGATTTTTCAAAATTATACAGATTGACCCCCAGGGAAGTGCCATAAAAGACTGCAGTGTCAGAAATGGACTCACTTAACTTCAGGAGTGTGTCGCCCACTGCAGCCCGATGAGGAAGGAAGTCATCCCACGGGCAGTGTGGACGAGAGCGTGTGTGAACGGGTGGCTGGGTTCCTGAGGGACATTTGTGCACGCGAGGCCTTGGGCGTGGAAGCATGAAAGGGCTCGTCTCTTCACCCGTGCTTGGAACTGCATCCCACCCCCACGTCCTCCTTTAAAAAAACAACTGTGCTATTATTGTCCGGTGCCTTGGTCTCTTCTCACTCTGGCTCCCGACTCCTAGCTGAGTTTTCAGAACTTTTCCTGCAGATCCTGGGACGCCGAGGGAATACTTGTGCCCCCATCAGGACAAAAAGAGGAGAGAAAATTCTCCTGGGCCTCAGCAGGACCAGCGGGGAAACCCCAGGGCTGTTTGCTGGGGAGAGTGGGGGAGGTGGAAATACTATGCTTTCTTTCTTCAGTCCTTCTCTTTCCCAATTCCTTGCCTCCCAATGTGTTTGACTCAGCACAGGGTAAACTCTCTGCTCCCCATCCAGGGCTGGGATGAGGCTAGGGAAGGCATAGAGGTCAGAAGGAGGTAGGGACTTTCTTCTGTAATTTACTGGAGCCTATGGAATCACTGGGTTGCAGTGTTCTCACTTGTTCCCATTATTTAAAAATAGAAGACTAAATACCCAGGGGCAGAAGGAATCATTTGGAACAACATCCCCAGAAATATCCTCTTGCCAACACAGGCGGAGAGGAGAGTGAGAAAGAACTGGATCCTTCCCGAGGATAGGTGGGATCTTGACCCTGGTGGGTTTGCTCTGGGAGATGATTCACAAGCTCACACCCCAGGTCCTGGGTGGATTCCCCGGCCCTTGCCACCTGGGTTGACCTTGAGCCTCCTTCAGCTCCAGCTTGGCTGCTCCTGTCGTCTCTTGAGGTCAGATGGGTCCAGGAAGGCACATCCTCAGTTCGTGAACTCCAAAGCGCAAATAAACCCAGAAGAAAAAACGACTTGGGGGTGTCATTGGCTTTGGTAGCTGAGGACACAGCCAGAGACTCTCTGTCAAGGACCCTGTGTCATTTAGCCCTGACTTCACATACAGCCTGGCATGAAGGGAAGAGTGCAGACTTCTGAGCAGAGCCACTGGGAGAGGTCTGACACCTGTGTGTGAATTAGCAGCTGGGGACACATTACCAGCCCCTCTGGGCTTCAGCATCCTCATCTGTAAAACAAAGATGGGTACCAGGTTGTTTCAAAAGTGACTTTTATGCCAAAGGACTAAGAACAGAGCTGAGGGTGTTGCACACCTTTAAAAAGGGGGAATATGGTAATTCTGCTTCTAAGTGTTTCAGCCACCAGGAGCTGGTGTCATCTGGAAAGGAGCCCCCTCCCCAAGTCCCCCGAATCCTGCTTCATAATTTCCATGATGTCGGGCCAATGGCTGGAAGTTCTAGAACAGCCTTCCTTTCTTCCTCTAAGAAGGTGACCAGAGAAGATTATCCATGAGAATGCTCCTGGAGGTCTGGCCTGGGAACCACCCCTGTGTAGGAGTTGTCTGGGAGGGAGGGGAGGTAGAGATGTGGGGCCAGGGTGTGGACAGCTGGGAGCCAATGGAGTCTCGCGGGCCATCCTGAGGGCACGCGGAAGGTGCTCAGGGGTGGCTGATGGGTTATAAAGGAACGGGAGCTTTAGGCCCCATAAATATCTCTGGTGGGTGAGGGTGGGGTCTGCCCCCTGGACCTCCGCTTGATACATTATCCAGGGGCGTGGAAATACCAGAGAAAAGGAAAATCTGATGCCAGAGCAAGCAGCTGCAGGTCCTCTCAGCCCATCCCGAAGCTTCTAAGTTATCCTTCAAGTTGACATTTAAGATTCGAAGATCACATTTGTTTTTGTTTTGTTCAAGCTCTCTTTAACGGTGACCCGGGATGACTTTTCCGCTTTTAACAGGCACAGTCAGTGGCCAACTTCTCTTGAGATGGCCTCGATTGGGGGTCAGTGAATTCCTCCCTCCTGGCAGCATTTATTTCTCCAACTCTCTCCGCACATTTTTTGGTTTGTTTGTTTTTCATTTCATTATGAGGTTCGAAAACTGCACAGTCAAGATGCCGCGGGGAGGAAGTAGCTTTGCTCTGCGTTTGGGCTTCATCGTGCTCATACAGCCCGAGCTGTCGGGAGAGTCAGGAGCCATGGAAGGAGGATTAGGAGGAACAGGAGAGGGAAAAGGAGGAGAAGGAAGCAGGAAGGGTGGGGGAGAAGCCTGTAAAACTAGGCAGTTGTTACATCTCTTTAAATCTTGGCCTAAGAGGAGCTAAACGATTTGTAGGATTCTCCATGGTTCGTGGAAAGAGCTTTAGACTCAACTGTACCAAGATTTGAGTTCTGGCACCATCAGAACGCTGATGTTAAATGAGAAAAATAACTCTTCATCCTTCCTGGGGCTGTTCCGAACGTGAAATCGTATATGCGAAGGGCCCCCGAGGAACTGCTCAGTGCTCCGCGCAGTGTTAATTCCTTTCCTGTGCCCAGGTCTAAGCTCACGAAAGCACATGGGTTTGAACGTGTGTCTTTAAGTTAAAGTAAATAGGCCAATTATTTGAGGCTTAAGATGCCCAAAACATCAGAGAGCTCAGCCTGGCGATGGGGGCCTTTACTACAAAGTGGAGCACAGATAAGCGCCTCCCACGCCAAGCCAAAGGCCGCCCCAGGTGACCTTCCGGTGAAGTAAGCGAAAGGTCAGCGCTTGCTCACCCATGAACCCCTGCACTGGGGAGATCGCCACCGATCTTGATTGAAAAATCCCAAACACCGTCTTGGGTCAAAGAATCAAAGCTAAAATTTGGTTGAAAGAATTCAGTGAGGCGGCACCCTAATGTACCCCAATAACAAAGGCCCTGTAGAGTGACCACAGGCCCTCAACTGTGTCTAACACCCTACAGTTTGAAAGGCATGCGGTTTCGAGTCGACCTTGTAACAATACTAGGACACTGACATTAGCTATGTTTTGTAGCCCAAACTCTGAGGACTTAAAAGATCCACCTTGTTTCATATAGCAAGTAAATAGCTGTCCATTCATGGGTCTTAACCCTGGCTGCACATGGGAATCACATAGAGAACTTGTGACTGCATCACTACCTGGACCTCCTGTAGGGCGATTCAATTAGGATCTTGGAGAGTATGGAGCCCAGGCACCTATACTTCTGTGTGTTCCCCAGATGATCTGAGTCTAAGTCGAGAACCTGATCCAAGGGAAGGGGAAAAAGCACCAGAGTTATTACAGAGGTTGTCAGGCATGGGCAAAACAGACAGGTCAGACCTTTCTTGGATTTTTGCCTGGTGGAGTTCCTGGTATCCCAAGAACCTAGAATAGAGCCGGGCACAAGGCAGACATTCGTCAGTTGAATAAATGAGTGAATGAATGAGTGGATTCAATACTATGGCTAAGGATCTTGCAACTTCAAC